CTAGTCTTCGTGGATGATTATTCCAGAATGACTTGGGTATACTTTCTAAGACAGAAATCAGAAGTGTTCTCAATCTTCAAGAAGTTTCAAGCTATGGTTGAGCGACAATCTGGTTATCTAATCAAAGTCTTAGAAGTGACAGAGGAGAAGAGTATACATCCACAGAATTTGATAAGTTTTGTCAAGATATTGGTTTGGAAAGGCAGCTTACTGTCAGCTACACTCCACAACAAAATGGAGTAGCTGAGAGAAAAAACAGAACCATAGTTGAAATGGCTAAGGCAATGTTGCATGACAAGGGAATGCCTCAATATTTGTGGGGTGAGGCAGTTAATACAACGGTCTACTTGATGAATAAACATCCAACAGTGGCAGTTGAAGGCAAGACACCATTTGAGGCATGGAGTGGAAGAAAGCCATCCGTGAATCACTGGAGAGTGTTTGGGTCAATTTGTTTTGCTTATGTTTCGAAAGAACTAAGACAAAAACTTGATGAGTCAAGTGAAAGATGCATTTTCGTATGCTATGCTTCATACACAAAAGGGTATAGACTCTACAATTTAAAAAGGAAGAAAGTTGTGGTTTGTAGAGATGTTCTTTTTAGTGAGAAATCTTCATGGGATTGGAATCAAGCAACCATCCGAGAGGAATCTGCACTAATCAGAATTGAAGAAGAAAATCAACCAAATGAAGAGGAAATTGAGCAAGAAATTCCACAATTATCACCTGAAAACAGTCCTCAAGTTCACTCTCCTACACCTTTGAGTCCAAGTTCAACGCCGGTTCGGTTAAGGAGCTTAAATGAAGTCTATGAAAGCTGCAATTTCTGTGTTGTAGAACCAGAAAACTTTGATGATGCAGTGAAAGAAGAGACATGGAAGGCTGCAATGCAAGAGGAGATCAATGTCATTGTGAAAAACAAGACATGGAAACTAGTGGACAGACCTTGTGACAACTCCGTCATTGGAGTGAAGTGGATTTATAAGACTAAGCTAAATCAAGATGGTTCCGTTCAAAGGAACAAAGCTAGATTGGTAGCAAAGGGTTATTCTCAGAAACCCAGGATTGACTTCTAAGAAACCTTTGCACCAGTAGCTAGGCATGAAACAATCAGAGGCTTTATTTTTGTAGCTGCTCAGAAGGGGTGGTTTCTACACCAACTTGATGTCAAGTCAGCTTTCCTAAATGGAGTCCTAAAAGAAGAGGTGTTCGTTGATCAACCTCAAGGATTTGTTCTTAAAGGACAAGAGCACAAGGTGTATAAGCTTAAGAAGGCACTTTATGGCCTGAAACAAGCTCCGAGAGCATGGTATGGAGAGATCGACTCATATTTCAATGAAAGAGGTTTTCAAAGAAGTGAGAATGAACCTGCCCTCTGTCAAAACTGAAGGTACTTCAGATATCCTTATTGTTTCCTTATATGTTGATGATTTGGTTTACACTGGAAGTGGTCATAATATGATCTTGAATTTCAAGAATGACATGATGAGGAAATATGAGATGAGTGATCTAGGCATGTTGCATTATTTTTTGGGAATTAGTATCATTCAATCAATTGATGGTATCTTTATTACTCAAAAGAAATATGCAAAAACACTTATAGAAAAATTCAAAATGATTGGTTGCAAGCCTGTTGCAACACCTCTAGTTGTGAATGAAAAGTTTCAAAGAGAAGATGGTAGTGGTGATGCTGATGAATCTATGTATAAAAGCCTAGTTGGGAGTTTGGTATTTGACAGCGACTAGACCCGATATTATGTATGCTACAAGCTTGTTGTCCAAATTTATGCACAAGCCTACTTGCATTCACTATGGAGCTGCAAAGAGGATCCTAAGATACATACAAGGTACACTTGACTTTGGTATTATGTATGAAAGGAATGTTGAGCCAAAATTGTATAGGTTCTGTGATAGTGACTGGGGAGGTAGTGTGGATGACTTGAAGAGCACATCTGGCTATACTTTTACATTAAGGACTGGTGTATTCTCTTGGGCGTCTAAGAAGCAGAAATTAGTTGCACTATCAACGGCAGAGGCTGAGTATGTGTCGGCTTCAATTGCAACTTCTCAAGCAGTGTGGTTGAGAAGAATTATGCCAGATTTTGGTGAGAAACAAGAATCAGCAACTCCTATCCTATGTGACAACAAATCAGCTATTGCCATGAGCAAGAATCCTGTCTGTCATGGAAAATCAAAACATATTGCTCTGAAACATCATTACATCAGAGGTGTTGTGGAAGACAAGGAAGTGGATGTGGTCTATTGCAAGACAGAAGATCAAGTTACTAATATCTTCACCAAGGCATTACCAAAGGATAGATTCATCTACCTAAGAGAACTTATGGGAGTGAAGCAGCAAAGCTTTAAGAGGGAGTGTTAAAAGTTAATGCTTTACTTAAACTGTTTTTGTAATTTAAAATGCTTTGGAACTCTGATCTAGTGCCACCTGTATGGCTTAGATCTATTGTAAAACAAGGCCTGACTATTTCCTTTATATGTCGGCCTTGTGCTGTTGTAAAAGGCAGAACAAAATATCTGAAAAAGTTGGCTCAATCTCTCTGTTTTTCTCTCTACCTTTCGACTCCTATTTTCTGCAGTAGTAAACTGCTCCTTCCTCTTAAAATCTCCATCTTTCTCATTTTTATTCAAGTTTTATTAATGTTGAAGATGGTCTGAATTCCAACAAAAATGCCCAACCTTTACTCACATTCGAGAAAACACTCCCAACATGATTACTTTCCAAAAATCAAAGAGACTGCTCTTTGAATCTCAAGAGTCAGACTCCCAACAGGATTGTTTTCTCAAAAATCGAAGAGGCACTGCCCTCCGAATCTCGAGAGCCAAACTCCGAATAGGATTACTTTCTCAAAAATCGAAGACACTGTTCTCCGAATCTCAAGAGTCAGACTCCCAACAGGATTGCTTTATCAAAAATCGAAGAGGCACCGCTCTCTGAATCTCGAGAGCCAGACTCCCAACATGATTACTTTCTCAAAAATCGTAAAGACACTGCTATTCGAATCTCAAGAGTTAGACTCCCAACAGGATTGCTTTCTCAAAAATCGAAGAGACACTGCTATCCGAATCTCAAGAGTTAGACTCCCAACAGGATTGCTTTCTCAAAAATCGAAAAGGTACCGTTCTCTGAATCTCGAGAGCTAGATCCTCAACAGGATTGCTTGTTCGAAAACCGAAGAGATACCGCTCTCCGAACTTCGAGAGCCAGATTTCCTTGGATAAAGCTTGTCTGCAATCTTCACACGCAACATCAGCTTTCCAGATATCACATACCATTTTTTCAAAGTGCTTTGACAAAGTTAAAACACGTGAAGCTTACAGCTCCCACTATATTGCTATGAACAAGAAGGGTAAAGGAATAACACTACTACTTGTTGTTAAGGAGATTCCTATATATGTCGACCTCCATCCTCCACAGCCAGGCAGACCTGCAAATAAAAAAAAAATGCTCAACTTTTCTTTACATCCAAGAAGGCACTCTCAACAGAGTTTCTCGAAATACTCAGTTTCTTTTCCTCCCGATAATACCTCTGCAAACAAGCCACACCAGAGCAAGAGTATCTCATATCATCAGGGTTAAAAGCAAGAGTATCCCATATCATGTTTTTTCCCTGTCTTTTCCTTTGACATTGTTCTTACCTGCAAGACAAGGAGAAAGAGAGCAATCAGTCAGCACTTGAAATCAAGCTTCCAGTCAGGAATTGACTGCCTGGAACCCCTTGCTTGATTACTTACTTGGCATTGCTCTCGAGTACTCATCTTCAACATCTTATGCTTACAGAGAAGATACCACATCTGCCTGAGGAACAGATAGGGCAAGTGAGAAAGATACAAGGAAGCATGTGGAGACAAGCGTAACAGAACACGTGCTGATGCATCCACTACTTTGTCAACGGCAAAAATATCACATATCATCAGGGTCGAACGTACTCTAGATTTGATGGACTTGTTTTGACCCTCAAATTCTTGAGTCGGCCTTATACTCTGGAGGAAACCAGAAAACCCTCTAGCCCAGTTCAAGAATAAGCATGTGGAAAGTTACTTCTTCAAAAGCAAAAGTATCTCATATCATCTCTTCTCCATTTGTTTCTCCTTATCCTTGTTGCTGCTTACGACACAAGGAGAAGGAGAACAATCAACTGGACACCAAAGTCAAACCTCCGATCCAGGTTGCTTGCTTGGAAGTCTGATTGCTTACCTTATCTGTTACCTCCTTCGGCAAATCTCCCAGCTCAGCGACTTGGGGGATTCCTACTATAGGGTTTGTATCGCACTTGACCAAGCCCGAAACTACAAGTAAGCTTCAAGTGAAATTGATACATTACCTTGTGCATCTTCATCGGTTAAAGATACCACCCCCGGATGGAGGAAAAGTACTTCCAGAGAAGATGTCACATCTACATATGAGATAGATAAGGCAAGTGAAAATGATACCACACTTCGGTACTTAGAAGTTTCGTGATTACTCAATAGCTTGGATCTTGCACGTACCCAACCGAGGAGCTTCCCTCACTCGGGAACGTAGGGGAGCATTGTTTGTACCATACTTGACCAATCCCGAAACTACTGAGCACCAGTTAACATTATACCGTCAAGGAGCCAAAAGAGTTTCCTTTCAACCAGGAGGCCAATAACAGCGCGACACGTGTCGACATCAGAAGCCAGTCATAGCGCGACACGTATCAACATCAGAAACCAATCACAACACGACACGTGTCAATGTCAGAATGAAACTAGAAACTCTCTTCTATAAATAGAGATCATTCTCTCACAATATTTCCTAATGTCATTTGTACTAAATCATTCACTAGGACTCACTAAAGGAGAGCTTGAACCTATGTACTTGTGTAAACCCTTCACAATTAATGAGAACTCCTCTCTACTCCGTGGACATAGCCAATCTGGGTGAACCACGTACATCTTGTGTTTGCTTCCCTGTCCCTATCCATTTACATATTTGTCCACACTAGTGACCGGAGCAATCTAGCGAATGTTATAAACTTAACACTTTCTGTTGTACCGAAGTTCTCACTGATTTTGTGCATCAACATTGTTTATAAAGCTTTTGCTGATTAAATTCTAAATGCTGGAAGATTTATTTCGTGCTTTATTTTATTATATACCGACCATAATGTCTATTGAACATGTTGGGTTTTACCCTTAAGACACTATCTTTATCTTGTTTTGAGATTCCTGAAACGGTAGTGAAAGATAAGATAGCAAAGCATAGCATATTTGTGGAACAGAGGGGTTTGTTATTTGAGACTACTGGCCCGAGGACATGGGTGGGATATTTTCTTCAAGGGATGGACCATAATAATTCATTCCCTTCGGTGAAGTGCATGACTCCAGGAAATGTCCAATTTCATGTTTTCTGTAGCTTTTATCCAAAACCTTTTCTTCAGCACAGACTATTGCAGGTGTAGCTGTGGAAGTTTGAGTATATAAGGAAAATTTTATAAGTCGTGGCCAGATTCTCAAGAATTATTGTGATATTTAACTATTCAATTTTGACTCTTTGAATTATTTACATTGGAATTGACAGGCGGTATTTGAACGCTACTTACCAACACTATTGTATCCCCTGCTTATTATATTTGGTGGAAATGTTTGCATATAATCATTTGTCTACAAAATATTTCCATAGTCATTTGTCTACAAAATGTTTCCATATAGTCAATTTGTCTACAAAATGTCTGCACCAACTTGATCCATGCGGAGTATGAACTTCAGCATCTTTTTTCTTTTTCTTTTCTAAAATAACCGTTTAAACCTCATTTATTTTATGAACAAGTATCTCTTTGTGATGCATAAATTTTGATATTTCTCAATACTACTTTTATATGAATGGGTGAGTTTTCATTGACAGCAATTATTCTCTCGTGGCCATCTCTACAGTTTGCAGCACCCCTCTTTTTCCTCAAGTTGATTTTGTCTCAAGCCTTGACTGCGTTGATAGGTGTAGGTAATGGAATGCCAGTTTCACCATGCCGGAGTCAATTAATTGCTTATTTGTATAAACTTTGTATTGATCTTGTTGGAAATGTTTTGCAGCGCTGGTGTTGGCTTTCACCCTATTTTTCGTTTGTGAACAATATGAATCGGAAATAGATGGATTGACAAAGCTCCTGTTCAACGGGTTCATATCAGCTTCTGGGTCATTGAGAAGAAATCTACCTGCTTCCATGCAACTATATCTTGAAAAACATGGAATCTTGCATCACGATAAAGGTAAAGCATCATAAATAGCTGCCACTGTCACCTCAATAGTCTTTTCGCAGAGGTTTTTCTAACTGTATAAATCCAATCCAATCCAATGGTCTGCTAGCTAGCTTAGATTTTTATGAAAATATAGATTTTGGGGCAAATCCAACAAAAGAAATAGCACAATACAGACTCTTGCTCTGTTCTTATTGTTAACCAAAATGTTATAGGCTGTAGAAATCAATGCCTTTTCGACATATCTGTAAAACCGAGAAATATTTTGGTAAAATATTAATCTCTTGTGAGTTTCATGTTCTTATTGTTACAAGTACGATGAGGTCGTTCGAATCAAGTTTTGTTTTTCTTTCATTTTGGGTGAAGGAATCAAGCTTTGCATTGAGTGGGAAAGATTGGTAACATAGATTAGTGCTTGAGGCCCCTCAAGTTTAACCTAATCACTTGAAGCGATCAATTTCCCAGTATTGCTACTCAAACATCTCGTGCCTATCAACACCTATCATCGTACTTGTAGCAATACTGGGAATGGTGCATCGGGCAAAGCCAAAACCCGGATAAGCTATGAAGCTCATGTAAGTGATAGTAATACGACGTATGTGATTAAAAGTTAAATGATCGTTGTTATAAACATTTCACAATCCTTTGCGTAAGTAAAATAAGTCACACTCAAAAATCCTGATTGAATCCACACAGACATTCAACCGACCTTTCCTTCACACATATAATAAAATAATAGGGATGGTAGGCTAGCACAAATCACAATGATCTGCATTCCTAATGCGCTCATGGAAACAGGTAACAGAAATATATAGAAATTGGATTTCAGACTTTCTCGCGGCAAACTGATAACAGAAAAATTTAGATACTGTATTCCAGACTTTCTCATGGCAATTCGAATATAGTTCTGCCCCATACTTTCTCATGGTTGACAGAAAGAATTCTAGGCCCTGGCTTTCTCATGACAAACTTAGAATGAAGGTATTCACAGGGATTCAGATCTACTCATGAAACAAGAAAGAAAGATAGATATCTAGGGTTACGATCACACTCATGAAACTAGAAAGAAAATATGCAACGACAACTGTTCTCTATTAACCCTCTTAGTTCGCAATCATTTCAAACATGTATACATATATCATTTCACAAAGTAGATCGATGACTGGATAAGAACACATTTGTAAATCCATAATAAACACAAAAAGTATATAACAAGGGAATCTTTCATATGCCAAGTAATTTATCACACAATATTAAAGTCAACTCACCGGAGTCCAAGCTACAAACAACTGTAGCACGAAGGTCGAAGCACTCAATCACAATCAACGCCTATAAAACAAGTAAGTCTTATCGTAGATACCTATAAATAAACAATACAACAGAATAATTCGGGTCACCTTCACTAAAAAGTCAACCGTTGTTCAAATTCAAAGTCAAAGTCGGCCACATGTCACTCCCTGATCTGACATACGTCTAGGATCGATGCGTGACAATAGGCTGTAGGGGGATGCCAGGAAATACAAACTGAAATATTGAACTAAAAATAACAATAATCACATCTGTTTAAGGAAAGTATAGGGGTAACCTAACACTCCAAGCTCTCTGAACTGTCAGCTACTCCAAAGCTCCTCGTATCTACTAAAACCTACACAGTCACCCCTACACCATGAGAAGGGTGCACCGGGCAAATAACAACCCGGATAAGCCGCGAAGCTCGTGTGAGTGACAATAATTCTACGCATGTGATACTAATAAAAACCATCCATCGATCACGGTTTATAAACGTCAAATAAAAAATCATATCACTGAAAATCTTGAAGGAGTCACCCAGACATCCAATGGCTCGTTTGAAACAAGTCACAAAAGCTCACAACCATAAACTCATACAACACAATGAAAAGTAGGGCTAGAATGACACAGTTCGGCCGAAGCCTACATCTCTGAAGCTATCTCAATCCAAACTCAATCCGAAGAATCAACAAAGCAATTAATCGGGTTCCAGACCTCTCAACGGAACCATAATACCAAACGAGATTCTGGACCACTCAACAGAATCCAACCAAGATACAATTCCGGACCACTCAATGGAATCGCGAAGTAGAAGCGATTCCAAACCTCTCAACGGAATCTGAGTGGATATGATTTCAGACCTCTTAACGGAATTGTGGAGTACAATGGATATCGAACCACCTAATGAAACCCAAGTTGGATACAATTCTGGACCACTCAACGAAATCACGGAGCACAAGGGATTTCGAACCACTAAACGAAATCCAGATGGATCAAGGAATCGGACCACTCAACGGAAACCCAGTTCCAGATCACTCAACGGAACTGAGTGGAAGGCCAACAACTATAATGTACAACGGCTCAAAGAAACGAGACATGAATCAAGTTACTCAATTTACAAAAGCTTAACAAGTGAAACAAGGCACAAATATTAAATTTGGAACGAATCAACGAAGTGGGAAATGAAACAATATCGAAGCAACAAATCCCCATCACAATGGGTTAATGGTCCACTACTATCCCTCACATTTTATCACAACATGCCAATCATACAAATCAAACTATATTTCAAATATCCACGTCAAATCTCATTTCATAAACATAAATTGATAGCTAAGTATTAAAAATAACAATTCAATAGAAAACATATTTATTTATAAAACCAAGTCATATCCACACAGGATAACAATTACAAAAATAAGGTAATCACCAATATCACATATATTAGTCACTCACCTGGAGTCTGCGCTAACGCACCCTAGCACAAGAATCGAGATGTCACGCACTATCGTCGCCTAAAACAAAGTACAAGTCCACATTTAGATTTCCTTCAATAATTCACATACTAAAAAACTCTCATATGTCTCCCACAACAACATTTAATGAGAATCAAACCGTCGTTAGGTCCATGATCCTACGTCACTTGCTCCGTAAGATCCAACCACTAGATTTTCGATTCATAAGTTCCTAAGGTCCTTAAATATTACTTACAATAATACCTCAAAGTTTGGTGGCAATCCAACGGTCAGATCTCCGCCAGCGCCTAAACATAATTGGGAACCATTTAATAAAACTCGTACTCGCCACTTCGAATTTTCTGGAATTTTTCCATACTTTTCGTCCAACTTTGAGAGCTCAATTCGAACTCAATACAAGCCCAAATTGAGTGATTCAAAAGCCAAAAGGTAGTTAGAAATGTGGAAAAGAGATTCATACCCTTGGATGGCTCTCTAGAATACGGGGTGGGCCAAAAAAGTGTTTAGAATATGGCCAAACAGTCACCGTTTTGAATTTCCAGATTTCTGGAAGATGCTCCTCGAGTTGATTTTCGTGTTAAAACCTTCACCAAATTCACTTTTAATCATCAATAAAGTGATCTAGCCTACAGAGGAGAAAGATAGAAGGAGTTTCGAAGATCACCTTCGCGGGAGACGGCGATACATCGTCGAAAATGGATGCACAGTAACTGTGCCGTGCTATGTGAAAGAGAAGAAGAGTCCAAAGTGGAAGTAAGACAACCAATTCCGTAGGTAAACACTGTGGGTCCCCAAGACTTCATGGTGTCGGTTTGCTGCCTACGCTGGTTTAACAACGACGAGGTTGGTCGGGTTTTACTCCTTGGATGATGGGTTATAAGACCTAAGTGGTGGCATTGGTCGCTACTTAGCCGATTTTTCAAAAAGTCAAAAAGAGTCATTTAAATCCATTGGTTTTCTTTGATTTTTGTGGCTTCAGATCACCACGTACAGGTTAATCGAGGTATTTCTTGAGTGGGTTTTGTGAAGGGAAGTCTGAGCTTCAAGGTGGTGGTGGTGGCATGGTCTAATTCCTCTTAAGTTGGCCAGAATTTGCGTAAGAAGTTCGAAAGGAAAATGAGTTGGTGGAAGGGGTCATGTGTCGGTGGACTTGTTCTAAATTCTCTTTCCAGAAATGGAAAACTGCTATTTTTGACAATTCGTGCTTAGGAAACTTACTATTTATACTAAGTCCAAATGATCTAAATGTCTCTCACTTTTGAGGCTCGTAACTTCTTCGTTTCAACTTCGACTCACGAACTGTATTCACATAAATGCTCGTGGGATAAAGCTCTATTATGAAAGTACTAGAGTTGGCCATTAAATGAATGGAAATTTTTGAAAAAGAAAGGTCAAATCACGCCTTAAAGAGTCAAACTTGAAATTTTCAAATTCAATGAAAATAAAATAAAATCTTGAATTAGAAAATGCGTCACTAAATAGTGAATTCCGAGAACTGTATTTCATAGATAAAGGTGACTGTGAAGGATATATTTGTGAAACCTAGTTTATTTGAGCAACATCTATGCATGCTATTAACAATTAAAAGGCGGAATCATGCTTGTATGCACTCAAAAACAAAACTTGACCCATGAAATTCAAAGCCTAGTAGTTATGGTGAACCAAGACTCAACTCAAGAACAAAGTGAGTTGAGAAATATTATACCTTTGTTGATTGCTCTTTGCATAAGCAAAGGCTAACTGCCCAAGAGAGGGCCTTCATTCCTTACTTCTTAGCTCCATGGCTTTCTTGGAGGAGGATGGATGAATGGATTCTCCAAGTTCCCAAAATAGAGAACCTCTAAGTCTCCACACTAAGGAGAGCATTGATGAAGAGATGAGTGACCTAGAGGAATGAAGATTGCTAGATATGTTCATCTAGGGTGGCCGGCCTCTTAGAGAGTCAAGAGAGCTTTTGTTCTCATCTTTTCTCCAAGGAAAAACCCTAATGATGAAATGGTTATAAAGTTCCTTTTATACCACCTCACAATGGAGTGGCAAACTTGCAATTAATACAAGTTTGCTACCCTTACCAATATGGCCGGCCATTGTAGGTTAATTGGGCTTTGAAGCCCTTTGTGTTTTCAAGTTGTCATACAACTTGAGTTAATGGGCTTGACATTCAAATCCCATTGGGCCTTGTGGCCCAAAACCAATGCGAGGTCTATAACAAACTTATTCGTTCGATTAATTAACATATTAATTAATCCTAGCCATAAATAATTAAACCATTTAATTATCCTTACTCATCTTCATTGTTTCTTCAATCTCTATCTTACACGATGTACGATCCATTAGGTTCCTTTTAGTAAGGCAGTGGGCGATTAGAACTCTTCAAATCAATTGTGAATTGAAACATACTTTCAATTCTCCCTTTAGTGATTATACACCTTTAGGGCTTCCACAAACCATGAGTGACACCTAGCAGTATGTCATGGTTACCCAAGCTAATCACAAGAGGTGGAGTACCTATTCAGTTTAGG